GCGCACACATAGATGTTGCCTCAACCATATGTAATAACTGGCTGTGTAATTTGTACCATCAGGTCATTGTTGCCCTGCTTTTCATGGCGTTCTGATTTTAAATTAAATTCTTAATAAAATGTACTTCATTTTAATAATAAAATAGGGGAGAATATATTTAAAAAGTAATGAATTTGAGACCCTGTTTCTCCTAATATTTTAAGCAGCCTTCACCCATACTTGTGTTTCCCACTTGTGGGAGTAAGTAATTAAATGGGTTGAATCTGATATTACATAGGTGTTCCCTCACCTGAAGCCATTTTGAATAGTGTTGGCATCTACCTAGTAGCTCCCAGTCAGGCTCTTAATAAATAAGAACTAATAAATAATAAGTATCCCATTGATGGCAACTCTTAACAAAAGAGAAGGCATTTGTCTCAATCACTTAAAATTTTAATACCCAAATGGGAAAAGTGCCCGGCTGGTGTGGCTCAATGGTTGAGCATGGACCCATGAACCAGAAGGTCAGGGTTCAATTCCCAATAAGGGCTCATGCCTGGTTGCTGGCTCCATCCCCAGTAGGGGGAATGCACAAGGAAGCTGATTAATGATTCTCTCTCATCGTAATATCTCTCGCAGGCTCTCTCTCTCTCTCTCTCCCACTCCTTATCCTTTCCTCTCTCTGAAATCAATAAAAACATATTTTTTTTAAAAAAGGGAAAAGTTGTGGAAAAATCTGTGAACCTAGAACACTGCTACTGCTTTTACATAACTTCCTATATTTGCATTAAGTGCCTATGAATGCAAATGCTTTTCCAAGGTTTGATTCTGAAATTGCTAATCTTTTACAATTAGTACTTCTATATTCTCAATGTTTTCTTTTTGACATATCTCAGGAAGAAGCCATTTTTTGATGTTTTTTAATATCTGTTAAAATTATGCCAATGAAAATCAAATATTCTTTCTAGACAACTGCATCCCTAGCCTACTTAGTTAGCTCTTCCTGGGTATCAGAACTGAAAGGTGCTAAGGAGCCATGGTTTAAATTCTATGTAACCCAGGAGAACTAGTTATTTCCTATTTTAGGTAATCTTTGCATGCAGTGCAAGGTTGTATTAAAAGGCCTCCTAGAATGCAAAATAGTAATAGTTGTTACAAGAATAATCATTGACTCTATTCTTTATTTACGTTACCTTCATTGGTCAAGAGGATCCTGTCCATTGCTGTCATCTTGTTTTTGCAAACCTTTAAATTTATAGGTTTGGGGAGTTTTTTAGATTAGGAAATGGCCTCTTTAATTCATGTGAACAAGCTGCTCATTTTCCAGATGAAGAAATTTAAGTCCCAGAGAGATTATGAGTTGCCTAATATCATAGAACTAGTTACCAACAGAACCAACACCAGAAACGTTACTTCCTGACTCATGTCATTATATAAAAGGCTCTATTACTTTAAAATGGTTTATAAATTAAGTAAAATATGATGCCTTTGACTTAACCAACGAATTCATTCATTTGGGCTCTCAGACATGAAACTGTGAACTATAAAGAAAAAATTAGAGTAAGTCAAAATCAACTGCAGAACCCACTACATATTTTAAAAGACTTGTAATGCAAATGTAGTGAACTGTCTTATAATGGCTTTCAAACACTTAAATTCAAGCCAAAATCTTATTTTTCTCATAAAACAAATTCCAGATTTTAGTGGATTGAAATTTCTTGGTTAAAAAAAGACAGAGATTTTAATTCTTGCCTAACTTACTAAATTTATGTTGGCATTTTAAAGCCCTCTAACAAGTTAGAACTAGCAAAATATCAAGATAACTGTTCAGCTTCATTTAAATAAAATCAAACAAACAAGCGAGGGTTTGGACTATATGGCACATTTAAAAATGTTTGTTTTCCAAAGAATCAGACTACCTTCTCTAGTGGTCTATGAACTGGTGCAATCCCAATGAATAAAAAGCTATTTTAAATGGATCTAATTTCAAATGGATGATTGGGTTTTTCAAAGCTAGCCAGAAAAAAAGAAAGCAACATTTTTCATGCACTGTTAAACAGACTACATATAAAATTCATTTGCCTTTCCTACCATAAGAACAAAAAAGTCTATTGATTTATGATGTTCTTATATTTAAAAAGAATAATACAAATAAGTTAAGTGTGAAAGTAATGTAGAATACTTGTAGCTTTATTATATTTGATTCCTGGGGATTGAAGAGTGACTTATTTTTCCTTCTAATGATACCAACTCAATTAATCATCTACTAACACCTTGACAACATATGTTTTTGTCTTTGACCCAATCTGTACTTTCTTACTGAGCAGACCACCTCTGTGTCAGATTAATGTTTAGTAATGGTTGGTTCTTCATTTAGTTGTAAGACGATCCAGCAATTTCAACTTTGAGATATTTTTTAAAATGCACATTTTTTTAAAAAGTGCCAATGTTCTATACTTCGTTGATCTTTGTGTATTTGAAACCATTGTAAGGTTGTGATTTTTCTAGCTGGCCTCTTCCTTTTAGTTATGGTGACAATGATTATAATAAAGAAATCTTTTCTAAATTGAACATATAAAAAGAGCAGAAATTATGTCCTGTTATTTGTTAAACACTTGTGTTCAATGGAGATATTTTGCCACAGTTGTCCTATTACAAGTAGGAAAATACACTTTAAAAATAATGTTTTTAGTCTTACTTAGTGTTATTCTATTGGAAGCTGCTTCCTGTTGCTCATCCAAGTCTGAATAACATTCTGGTTTTCATGATGACAGACCCATATATGTAGATTGTAGTACACGACATTTAACTCTTCGGAAATAATCCCCAACGTAATGGACATCCCAAAATGTCATCAGTTTGTGGTGATATGTGAAGCTCTTTGATTTATTTTATTTGAATGTTTGGAATAAAACACTCACAAACATGTGTAGCATACTGAACCTTATCCCACAAATTCAGGTTTACTAAAAGTATTAACTTTATGTTCCTTATAATAGAACTTATCAATTGTCCTGAATGCCTATCCTACCTAGTGGTAAAACCTAATTGGTAGAAACCTAGTGAGTTGACAGCTTTTAACTCCATCCATTCAAATGCCCTGCATTTGATTTAGAGTTTCCCCCACTCGCTTTCTTATCCAGTTTGCAGGTACATTCTGGGTGGCAATGGTGAAGAAGAGAAATAGAATGTGACCTTGATCTTCAGTCATCATCTGTTTAAACTATAATCCCCTGAAATTCACATCATCCTTTTGGCTCCCAGTTGCCATAGTCCTACCATATTGCCATGTACCTTGGCCCCCCTGGCAGACGTTCTTTGAAGCATGTTAGCACGTATAGCTTTTTTTCGTGTCTCAGGTACAGAGTCTCCTTAGATGGGCTTCTAAGGACCACATGCATGTGTTGTTGGTCACACAGAAATAACATTCTGATGCTCCCCACACCATGCTGGGTGCTTGCAGGACTCAGACCCTCTAAAGCCCGTTGGCCTGGACCTCTCATGCAGAAATGTCTACACTATTGCTTGTGTGGACTCTCCATGAGGACATTCCGTGTACCTTATGTGGACTCTCCATGAGGACATTCAGTGTACCTTATGTGGACTCTCAATGAGGACATTCGTCTCTCTGGTCATCATCTCTGTGCCCAAATTCCCAAATCTGTCAGGGGTATTATTGTTTCTACCCCACCATGAGTCTTGAAGGGCAGAGTGGGATAAAGGGTTCTTCTTAGATATATACCTGTCGCTATTTAATAGTCCTGCTTCTCTTCTGATCTTTTTCCAACTTAAAGATCTTATATCCCCTTAGGTAGGAAAAATCCTCTGTTACATTGATATAATTCTTCTAAATCTGTTCTTTATGGCATCAATTTTATGACTTGAATCCCTTATAACTTTGGTTTTTAATACTCAAAGATAGACTTAATATTTAAATATCAGGCTCTTATATTTTTAAAAAATGTATTCTTCTCAAACTATGACCTGCCATGATTTTCAGAGGATTATTTTGAAATTCATAAGCTAGGAAAAAGTCGATTTTGAAAATCATAAATCTAGAACAAATCTATCTCTTTGCATAAAAAAGAAATATATTAACAAATATAAAAGAAAAAACACACTGGCTAACATATTTTAATATAATCATGCTGAATATACTATTTTTTAAAGATTTTTATTGTTGAAAGTGTTACATATGTCCCTCTTTCCCCCATTGATCCTTGTAGCCCACCTCTAGCAACCGCCCCCCCCACCGCCCCAGGCCTTCACCACACTATTGTCTGTGTCCATGGGTTATGCATATGATCGCTTCTCTCCCACCCACCCACCACCCCTACCTTCTACATATGAGTGAGATGATGTGATACTTGTCTTTCATTGACTGGCTTACTTCACTTAGCATAATACTCTCCAGGTCCCAAATTAGGGCTATTTAAGATAACTTAAATCACACTGCCACCCAGGGAGCAGCCACTGAACGACTCAACATTTAGATATGTCAGTGAGATCAAACA